TATATATATGGAAAATTTCATAACATTGAATCGGCCGGAAAATTCGTTCATTTACCGATTTCATAGAAGCTGTATTTTTGCAATTGGTTATTTGTCAGTATTTTCCAGTTTATCTTGTGAACCTTTTTGTCTGCGATCAGGAAGTGAGCTTTATTTAAATTGCTGATAAACTGTACATTTTTGAATGAACCATTTTTATATGTCTTGCTTACTAGATGTATCACCTAATCCATCTCGCTGTCTCCGTTCATCATCTCATCCTTGCTCTATTTTATAATAATGTTCTCTCACTATAGTGTATATAGGCGTATTATATATATATATGCAGTATATATGGTATGTATATATGTATATAGGCCTATGTATAAATCATACCACGAAGTAGAGATAATATTGTGGTAATGCTATAAAATGATATATTTTGAAAGTTAAATAAGGAATCTGCGAGTATGCAAAAAGGCTGCTCCAACCAGGATTCGAACCCGGGACTTTATGCTGTCTGTGCAAACCCCTCATCCAACTAGGGCATTAAGGCTTCGTTTGGAATTCAAATCCGAAAAAAAAACCACTAATACCTCACACTCTTGCGCATTCGTAGTTGGACAGCACTAATTCCTAATATATGGCGAATAACAGAGATCAATGATACGCCTTCTTATAAGCATTTGACAACACAGGATCTCCGAAGATCATGAACCTCTCATTCCATTATATTCATAAAAAATTATTTATTTTTATAAGCCATGGAAGAATGTATTATGTGCAGGGGGCTTGGATATTGAGGTATCTACGTGTTTGACATTTCAAGGCTCGTTAATTGCTCCATGCTCGGATAGTTAGCATCCAGTCTATGTCGGTGATGCAAAAGTGTCAATTATATAAATATCTTGACTAGGTCTGTCCATAAATGATTTACATGTAGGAATAAGAATAATTTTTAAGCACTTAGGTTTGGCCTAACAAAAATAAATTGTAAAATTTTGAACGCAAGGACAGCCCACCAGTTTATAGTGGCTAATGAAATTTTACAAAATAGCAAGTTCCTTGAAGAAGAACACAAGACATTAAGAACGTTTCGTTATGAAAAACTTGGGGAAAAGTTCCCGTCGATAAAATAAACACGAACGGTACTGGTTAAAGGTAACTTGATTTCTTGCTTCGAGCAAGGCATCCATTCATGGAAGTCTTGAAGATACGCCTATCTGAGAGTGACTCTTGGGTGATCGAGACCAGGACATATGGCCTATCCGACTTTAAATTTAACACAGATTGAATTACGTTAACTAATAGACACAAGTATACAGAGATTAGCCCATAAACTTAACAATTTCTTTAAAAACACAATTAATGCATGTGTAAGTAAATTAATCTGTTGTTAATTATGAATACAATAACGTAAATTATGAAAAAATATAGGAAGAAGAGGAAAGAACCTCGGAGCGGCTGAAATATACACCAAAATATACAATAATAATCAGTTTGTCATTATTGTATTACGTTTTTGTAAACATTTATAGGCACTAATCGTCAGAAGCGGTGCCAGCAGCCTACACATTTCATAATTCGACGTCGAAACACAATTTTATTATCATCTACATGTTAAATGTAATGGGATGGTGCAGCGGCTGCGTTTCGGTCTCTCAACTTTATATATCAAAATGATAATTAAATTACAATTAGGACAAGTACCGAAACAAATTTGTTAGAACATCGATACGCTCGATTTGATATTTGTTGCGGACGATGTAGAATATTAAATTAAGCTTCTATATTCATAAGTAGTTTTACCAAGAGATGCAATCATGCTGAGTAGCTTTTTAGATGATTAAACACCCTCCAGAAATATTAATCTAGAATCCACTATCGACGATGTTTATCTCGTTATTTTAATGTAGCATGTATATTCTCGAAGGTTTCTTATTTGAACACAAACATGATACAAGTGCATAATTAGTGGTCCCAATATTTTTATCAGGTTGTAAGTTACATTGCATTCCATCCTCCTTCATGCTCTTTATATTATGGTTTGGAAAAAAAATATATATTGTAAAAAATCGTGAGCTCTGTGATCACTGATACGACCGTATACTGCAGCTATGTTTATACTCTCGCGTTCTCCGTTGTTATGTAACAATGTACACGGTACGCGCGACCATGACGTATAAATCTCAATCGGCTCGAAAATTGAATTGTCCTTACATTTGTTTTAAATGAATTTTTAGGACAAGATGTTTATAGCCATACAAAACATTACGACTAGCGACTCATTGAGAATCAATCGTTGACGATTCTAAACAATCGGAATTAATTATAATAAAAGTAATTACTTTGAAAGGATTACTGACATAGACCTACGATAGTCTTATTATAGAGAAAATAATATTAAGGGTTATCATAATACAGTATATATAAAAAAGTATAGTTATAGATTTTATGATATAAGCCTACTCGCTATTTGCGACAAACGACTCATTGTACAATCTATCGTTTACGAGGAAATCCAATCGGAATTGATTAGATAAGAGAAATTACATTTCACTGTATTATTTAAGTTCTAGAATGTAATGTGCTTACGAGAGTTAGACCTTAACGGACTTGCACTCTTTTATCATAAATTAATATTAAACTATCTTCTCTTTGTTTATGGATTTTGGCACTATATAATTCCAATGATCAATTGAAATTGACCGACTGACCGACCATTGATTGATCCATTGATTTTGATTGATGACTAACGACTGACGACAAATTAAATACTCTTCTATATATTATCCTGCCAAACACTAATATTTTTGTGTACCGCCGATTTACATCCATTTTTATTCAATCTCGTATGTGTCAGTAAGAACAATGTATTTCAATGAATGACGTAATTAGTTCACGAATTAGACCTTCTAAGACCCTGTCTCTTATACACATCTAGATGTGTATAAGAGACAGCAAATAAAATGTAATAAAAAATCAATTACTGTACATACACAGGGTTATAATAGAATATAAATACATCTTTTTAATTTAGTGACGTAATAATCAGCCAAAAATAAGTACTTTATATTGAGCTTAACATAATTTTATTGATCTTCTACATTATGTTGACAACAATTATGTTACTATATAGCTGATCATGTCAACATGGTGGCATTGGTCATCTTTATATTATCCTCAAAACTCCTAATAATTAGTACAAATCTCAGCCACTATAGTAAAATACACATTTTAGTTATATTATATGCTATTAATATCATAGTGTAAAGCCGGGCAAAAGCCGATGGCTAGCGCGATTCAACGAAGAACACAACGTGACGAGGACTGTGCAACGGGACAAATCGGCAATCCAATCCAAACCTAGACAAATAGGCGCATTCTACTATCCACTCAGAGTGGTACCAAAATTACCAGACCACCAAGCGCTTACACACAAAGCGTAGATGGATTCATCGGCTGGCGGTCGCATCACGATCGCCGGCGACGCAGTGTTTTTTTTTTCGGCTCAATGTACGTAGATACGATCAGATCTAAATAGTAATACAAATAATAATTGACACCTAATATAGTACGTTATGCTGAAATCTCAATGCTTTAGGAAATTAGGTAATTTCTCCCACCAAATTGTTTATAATTGATCACGTGATGAAATCATGCGTTTAAAGATGCTATACCGGTACTCCTTATGAATGAGTGCGATGGTTTTGCTTACTCAATATTTTCATTGGCTCTGTTCTTAGGGCACGTAGGCATGTCGGAAGCAGGTCCTTCACGTGTAAATAGCGGGGAAAAGTCTCAAGTGACGGACGGTGTACTGGATAAAGTTGAAAAGGGGAAAAAAAAGGACTTAGATTTATCCGATAATGACGACACGGATTCAGATAATGATTACAGCGAAAAGACGAAAGACAACACAAGAAAAGAGTCTGGGACAATTAGGAGAATCGTCGGGACCTTACGGGTGATCAAGTCTTGGGTGACAAGAGAAAACCACCAGGATTCAGTCGCAAGAGCTGATTCTTTTCTGGAGAGGTTTGCCTTAGGAGCACCACAAGAAGCGGCGTCTAGGCCCTCAGAGTAAGTATTTTTCCAGTCATTTTAAAAATAATATTCGGCTTACATATACTGTATTTTAATATTACTGTATATTGAAATTGTTTTGCGATGTTTGCCGTTGGATTTTTCGAAATTATGATAATTTGTAGTAACGTAAGCAAGGATTATACATGATGCCGGCATGGAACATCTTCAGTAATAATTAGGATAATATCAAGCGCGCGTTCGTTCGACGTAAACTCAGCGTGACATAACCGCGCTTAAGAATATAATTACATTACTTGATCACATGACTCAAGACGACCTCGTGATTAGAATGGTGTTTTGCGAGAAATTAGGTGTACTCAAGATAACAGCGTGTGTGCTAATTGAGACACTCTCCGTTTACCTGCTAATGCCTTGAATTACTGCATTCTTTTTCTAATGCGCACCAATCAAGGATCGTGAATCCCAAAAAAACCAACCAAGCGCATGAGGCCCCTGCCTAAGGCTTCTTCGCACCTTACTACTCTGGGGCCGCGTAAGACACTACTAAGGGAGAAGAGGCCTACTTGACTGGTAACGCTCGGTTGTTTTGGAGTCCTCATTGTCCTGGCAAAAAATACTGCCGATTTAGGATAACGACGCTTTTCCGATAAACTAAACATGCTCATGATTTAAATTCTGATTTTTACATTAGATATACGTTCGCGACGAATTTACATTTTTTTGGCTGAAAATATAAATTACATCTCTCTCGTTTAAACACGGAAGGGTTTGTATGCATACTTCGTTCATCAACGTATTTTTTTTTCTACAGACGATGTAACACACCAAATCAAGTCTGAAATTCATTATTCCAAATCTGACAGAAACAAATCGCATAATTTGCAATGAACAATAAGAATGGCTTCATTGAATAGTAAGCTGCGCCCTGAGAGCTTATCAAACGAAAATTCTCTCTGATTCATTCATTGCTAAACAATACCGCAATTTGTATACAAAATTAGAACCGTGAGATGTAGTCATGACATGTGTAAAATGATAAATGCAGATTAAATTAGTAAAAACGCAGTGTTCTCTAGCATAATCGCATAATCGTAGGTGATTAATCAGGGATACAGAGGCCTACACAACAGTACGAGATATAAATAATGAACCAAGGCGTAGATGCATAGCCTAGAGCAGCATTGAAAGCCAAACGAGATAAGATGATTGAGAAAACTGTTCTGGAGACGGTACGAACTCAACAATAACAAAAAACAAACAAAAAAAAACATCGTTTAATTAATTGATTTGTGCATGATAGATAACATACATATATATATATATCTGTCTCTTATACACATCTAGATGTGTATAAGAGACAGGTCACGGTGCGAAAAATGAGTAGAGGAAGACCAAAATCAACATGGAGGAGTATGGTGGACCATGAAGTAGTGGAAAATAGAAAGACATGGAACGAGCTCAACTGGCTGGCACAAGACCGTCCCAGTTGGAGGACTTTTGTAGACACCTTATGTGCACCAGTGCACGAAGAAGAGTAAGTAAGTAAATAATATATATAAATAAATAAATATATATATATATATCTGTCTCTTATACACATCTAGATGTGTATAAGAGACAGCCATACTGTATATTTCTCAAATCAAGACCTATATAAACTATTATAAATTATATAGATATAAGTTTGATCTATATAATAATGTGTGGTAGGACATCATCATTTCCGTATATGGGTGTGATAAAGTACAGATACATTTCACATAAAACATAATACTGCAGTGTGTACACAGCTTTATTATACTCGCACACTAATGTTTGATCATACGATTACTGTGACATACAATTGACCTTTCCGCTAAACTCCGCGCCTTGGATGTTGTTAGTAAGCCTTCCACAAAACGGCAGTGTAAAAAACTTTTTGGAACACGTGTGTTTGTAAGACATGCGCGTATTTCTGTTCCTATTCTGATTGGTCAGTTGTTAAGTTCGATTGACAATCTCTGCAAAAGGTCCACTGATTTTCGAGAAGTGGAGCGAAATCTTAATAAATTTGTGGTTATGATGCTTGCCTATGGGGCGCCAAGTGGTTCTTTATTACAACATTTAGGATATTCATACGGAGAAAATATCCATAAATTAAATGATTATTTAGAATATGAGTATGGTGACTCCGAAAAATGACAGACGTGAGGCCATAGTTGATGGTGACTCCGAAAAATGACAGACGTGAGGCCATAGTTGATGGTGACTCCATACTCATATTCTATTTACGTATGATCAGTGGATCCTTTGGTAAATGATTATTTGATTTATGCATTATGGGTAAATGACAGGATTCAGATATCAATTCCCATCCTTGGTTCTGACGAACAATAACAGCTCTTTAGTTCTGATAATGAGATTTTGTAGAGAATCTTTTTGTGTATGTTAGTCTAATTGAAGGAAATACTATGCTATTCGGAATATCCTTGACATTTGTGTCTAAAATAAATATTGTAGTAAAAAAATAAAAGAATAGATTGTATTCTTGGATTTGTTGACATTACAAAATTCAATGTATTACAAAACTAAAGCTGAGAGGAAGAAGCAATTATAATTCTTTCCTCCGAAACAAATAAAATATTAAAACGGTAAAATACGCAAGTGAATATTTCTTTAATAACAGAGACTATAGTACGTTATCAAAACATACTAAATATGACGTGTAGCTAGCGAGATAAAGAATCCTTGATGCCAATCCTCGGATCTCATGGATGGAGCTTATCCATATTTTCAAGTAGCGTGAAAGGGATGAGAATGTGATGATCCCCCAGGTAAGATGCTGGTCCACTGCAGGTTACTCCCAGCAATTTGCTGGTACCCACCGCTGGGTAGACTGAAGCAATGTAGATAAAGTGCCTTGCTCAAGGACGTAGGCGAAATGCACAGCGAAAGATTTAAACCCCGACCTCGAGTTTCCCCTTACTCCAAAAAATAATAAATAAAATGAAATTTTTTGGTAGGATAAACGGATTTGAAATACACGTCACTATTGGATTTATTTTCAGTATAGGCCAGTGTTAGTTGCTAACGTCATTAGCCAGCACATATTAATTTCTTCATTTTTAAGTTAAAAGTCAATCACTAGAAATATATCTCACAAAAACCATTAGCTGATTTTGTGTCCATGAAATTCGCTAGAGAAAACAACATAGGCCTACGTCACTGATGTTCGAAATGATCAGCGTGTCATTGGTCAGGTGACATGGACACGTAATTTAACAATGCATGATCAGAGGCAATGTTAAAGACAAAGCTACTTAATTATGAGTAGTTCCGTAGCGAAGCCATTACTGGCGAGGAATATTCAATGAGAATATAGAATAGAGGCCTGACAATAGAGAACAGCGAAGCTCTGGTAACTTCTTTCCATCAAAGAAGTGTTCGTGAGATGCGATGCTGGTGTATTAGAGATCTGTAGAAACTGAAAAATGTTCGTTCTATATTGTGACGTTAACGGTAGCATGTCTTACATACAAAAACGAATTAAGATTTGATCACACAAACACACCCACACCATCCCCATAATAAATAAATAAATAAATATATATATATATATTTATTTATTATATATATACATATATACGACTATTTACTCAGAATCATATATTTTTAATAGACCAGTGGTGGTTCCAGGTGATATTTTTGTCGGGGTGGCGCGAGTAGTCATGGAGGTGGGGCGCAAATATTATGGCTGAGAGAAGAAGGTTTTGGGTTTTGAAAGTTTTAGCCATTTAAATCTCCTTCTAAGTTATTTCATAAAAAACAACATGATTACTATTCTTCTTCTTGTCATTCAAATAGTACATACTCGACTTTTAAATTTTCAATTAAAACTGTTTATTTTTTTTCCTTATGTGAACTCCATGCCGTCGTATATGACAATTTGTACATAATAATTTCAATTTTATTTAATGTAGACTGGAGTAGTTGGCAGACCTAATAAATATGTGCATATCCCAATCCCTGTGTTCAATCGCTGTGTTCGCGGCCGGCGTATGTAATAGCAAATCTAGTAAATTGTGACAGCTTATTTTCAAAGGTTTGAGTTGTTTATAATAATCAAAAGCCTAGCCCGCAATTACTTGTCTCTTTATTAGACTTCGGAATGCCTCTTGGCATCCATTTCATGGAGGTACCATTTGTAGACCACGCTTAAGGCCTATCAATCGTAATGTACTCGTTCGAACCAAGGCAGAGGGTTTCTTATAAACATGTAGGCCTAATGGAATCACAACTCATTATATCTGTATTTTACTGTCGTCGAAGCGTGATTTAAAGCCAAAATCACACGTTGCGAACGGGTCTGTATTATTTCTTCAAATAGTCAAGCCAACTCGGTCATCCATTATTGATAAGATTTGTATACACATCCTGAATTTCTATTTTCACTTAATAGGCTAGTATATATTTTTATGTTTCCAATTGACCAAAATATCACAATATTTCCTATCTGAATTAGGTATCTAGCACCGTAAACAAACATATCTATGTTCTGCCTGCATCCATTTCTGTCAACGGAAATATTACTTCTGATGATGAAATAAGCAATTTATTTAATATTTTGTTTATATTAATATACCATCGGGATTAGATCGGGCTCTGAATTTCAACTGATATTGATCATGTTTTTATATTAATCAGCATTCATTTTCTTTTGATTTGTGCTACTGAGTTTCTCGAGCAGCTTCAAGGTTTGAACCCTGCTACATCACTGGGTTTGAACTGTCATCCAATCCGGCTTTTGAAATTGGCTGCCCCTGTTATTGCACCTTATCTGACACACATTTTTAAAACTTCACTTACAACCGGAAATTTCCCACAAGATCTTAAAATTGCTATGGTTACGTACCGATTCATAAAGTTGCGCCATAAATGCGTACTTTTTTGTCTATCATGTCTAAAATGATTAAACGGGCTGCCCACAGTCAACTTTGTGACTACCTTACGTCCAGTAACATTCCTGCATCCATCCATCCAAATCTGGTTTTAGAAAACACTACTCAACTTCAACTGCATTCAATACACATAACTGGTTTGATGATATGAATGGGGCGGCCTTACTGGTACTGGTATAATAATAATAATAATAGTAATAATAATAATAATAATAATAATAATAATAATAATAATAATAATAATATTAATACTAATAATACTAATAATAATAATACTAATAATAATAATAATAATAATAATAATAATAATAATAAATAATAATAATAATAATAATAATAATAACAATAATAATAATAATAATAATAATAATAATAATAATAATAATAATAATAATAATAATAATAATAATAATAATGAAAGCCATAGGATTTACCAAAAATGAATTTCGAAGAATGAGAATTCATCGTCTTTTGATATTTCTATCTGCATTTCATAAATGAAAGAATCACGATTGCTTATCATAACCATCATCATCTTCGCAGCGGCAACAGCAGCAGTTTCACTTATTATTATTGTAATAATAATAATAATAATAATAATAATAATAATAATAATGAAAGCTATAGGATTTACCAAAAATGAATTTCGAAGAATGAGAATTCATCGTCTTTTGATATTTCTATCTGCATTTCATAAATGAAAGAATCACGATTGCTTATCATAACCATCATCATCTTCGCAGCGGCAACAGCAGCAGTTTCACTTATTATTATTGTATTGTTATAAATGCTATTCGTTCGTTCGACGTGTCTTAGCCCTGAAGAGAGCCGTAGTCTTTTCTCTATGAGAAACTAAAGGTTCGATAAGAAAGTATAATACATACTCCAAGTATTGAAATACACGACATCGTGTTGGGATTCAATATTTTGGGATCATCATTCCTGATGATGACATAATTAATGTCGAAATATTGAATCCCAACACGATGGCGTGTATTTCAATACTTGGAGTATGTATTATACTTTCTTATCTGAGATTAATCAGTGGACCTTTCGGTTAAAGGTTATAGTCGAAGCATCGACATCCAGGGGGCCGCTCGGTTTTCATGGCGCCGTCCCACCAGTCACAGAGAGGTTTATATGGTCTCTTGTCTGCATTTTGTAGAATTTAATTGGGACTGACTAACCCCACAGACAACCTGCCTGCTCTGCACGTGGATGTAGTTTAACGTCATACCCAGGACACTAAATGCTATTAGTATTATTATTATATATATATTGCATTACTATTAAGTTGCTTTATGCATAGGATCAATGCTTTTCTTTCAGCTTTGAGAGTAAATATATTCTTCAAGTACTTGACAAATCTGGGAACAAATACTACAGATGGTTAGTAGTAGTAACTGTGGCCGTAATGTACAATATGTACGTCATAGTGGCGAGGGCGGCTTTCAACGACCTACAAACCCATTATAGGCCGGTTTGGTTTACACTTGACTACATTTGTGACTTCATATACGTCATTGATATGTTCGTGAAGTTCCGAACAGGTAAGAGACTTGTAAAAAATTAAAAGTACCTGGGTGACCGATCCACCAATTCCTATTTCCGATTGGATGTTACAGTATGTATAATATTAAGTAGGGAATCCTAATCAAATTAAGAATTGATTTAAGACTGGCATAAAATTAGCCACACACAAATTGATAGCATAACTAAAGTTTTCGAATTAATCGTAATGTAAACCTTCGCAGTGCAAAGATTGTAGTAGTGAAAAAGCTGTAGCGACTGTGTAGCGATTCTATGGAAACCAGGTTTCCCATACAACCGCTACACCCTATCGCCTGCATCTTTCGGTATGTAATGCTGATTGGTCAGTCGAATCGGGGAGCCTTTCCGGTTTGCGTTGGGGACTGCTACGCTAGTACGTTTGCACTGAAAACATTCGTTAGCGAGAGTAGCTCTTTAAAGGAAATTAGGCTTTTCATGTCACGTCCGAGTTTCAATCAAATATAACGACCGACCAACCAGAACCTGGCCAGAAATACGCATTATTATCGTTTTGGATTGTGCTCGATATGAAATGTTAAGTAGAAATTGAATAAAATGGATTAAAAATAGTATACTAATAAATATATTGATGAATAGGCCCATTTGGCAATGAATAGTTAAATATGGTTATACGTAAATGTTTGTTTTGCTAACTATGTAAGCCTAAATTATTTTAAATAACTTTTGAAAATTCAAAATATAAATCGTTAGGAAAAGCC